ATATAGAACCGGCGGTTCTAAATCCAAAGTCGCTAAACGACTGTTGGGTCTGGAAGTCCGAAATACACTTATGAAAAAGGATGAAGGGGGAACGGCAAAAAATTTTATTTATTCATGGAAAAGTAATAATTTTTTTATATGAGTAATTTAATCGTTCAATGAAAAATAATAATAAATTTATAAGTAATTAAATAATTTTTTATTTGATTTTTTCGATTAGTCCAGGTCAACTTCTTTAACCCGTGACCCTACCACTAGACCAGGTCAAATTTCAAAACTTCAAAACTATAGAAAAAAGTCAAGACCAGTTAACATGCTATTCTCTCATAAATATTAAAGGGAGTTAGGGAATCAGAAATGAATATAAGCTAGCCCAGCCATCCCGGTTACAAAAAAAAGTTAAGAGAATCACCTAGCATATTATGCCATGGAGCTGTCAGCAAACCTAACTAAGACCAGCCTCTTTTTATATATGTATTGACTGTAAAACAATGTAGTTTTGACCTTTTAAAGAACAAAAATGATAAAAACGAACTAAGCAATTGCATACAGGAAAAAAATGTGGTTAAAAAAAAGCGCAATTTCAACACATACTCCTCTTTAACTTCTATTCTCTATTAAAAGAGAATGCTTATTTGTGGTTGGAAAGCGGATTCATGAGAGAGGGATAAGAGAGGGGAAATGTATTTATTGAGGGAGAAGAAAGAGAGAACGTCGATGGAAGGGAGAGGCTTTGGAGGTTTATTGACCTAGTTATCAAAGAAGTTACTGTTGAAGCTTCTTGAAGCTATCACTGATAAAATTTTGGCGGGGTTTTTAGGTTTTAGGTTTCTAGCTGTTAAAAGAGAGCTATATGAAGGTTGAAAATGGAGGATTGTTAGGGAAAACATAGGGAGGGAAGATGATGTGAGATATCAATCTGCCTTATTTGTAGTGAGCCTTCAATGTCTCTTCCTTTCTAGTCAATCTTCTTATCATATCAGTCTTGACAGATAGAACCGGCGGTTCTAAATCCAAAGTCGCTAAACGACTGTTGGGTCTGGAAGTCCGAAATACACTTATGAAAAAGGATGAAGGGGGAACGGCAAAAAATTTTATTTATTCATGGAAAAGTAATAATTTTTTTATATGAGTAATTTAATCGTTCAATGAAAAATAATAATAAATTTATAAGTAATTAAATAATTTTTTATTTGATTTTTTCGATTAGTCCAGGTCAACTTCTTTAACCCGTGACCCTACCACTAGACCAGGTCAAATTTCAAAACTTCAAAACT